GCTCTGTTGCCCGGGCTAGAGTGCCATGGTGTCAGCCTAGCTCACAGCAACCTCAAACTCCTGGGCTCAAGTGATCCTCCTGCCTCAGTCTCCTGAGTAGTGGGGACTACAGGCATGCGCCACCATGCCTGGCTAATTTTCTATTTTTTGTAGAGACAGGATCTCACTATATTGCCCAGGCTGGTCTTGAACTCCTGGCCTCAAGTGATCCTCCTGCCTTGGCCTCCCAATGTACTGGGATTTACAGGTGTGAGCCACCACACCTGGCTAGCAGCAAAAATTATCAATTAAATCTAGTGTATTTAGTTGGAAAATCCGAAAGGCATTAAACAGTCTTCTCTGACATAGTATATATACTTATGTATACTTCTTATTCTAAAAAACTGTCAACTTCTGGAAGCTAAGTTATGTCACTGATGAGAATGGAATGATGAATTAGAAGTCCTGTAGGAAAGAATTTATATTAATGTTCCATGGCATGCATACTATCTAAATTTCTGGTTAGTTATAGAGAGTTGGATGTCCAAGGTTTGAGGTACACACAGGCATGCGAGTTGCTGTGGCACTGCCTGCTTTGTTCTCATCTGTGATGATGCTACTCAAGAAATCACAGGTTTGATATGCTGGATAAGTACTTTTTCCTATTTTCTATGCAACTATTAATATTAAAAAATTAGTTTATCATTAAAATCATCTTGTATACCCCAGGCTGGGAAATGATGAGTTGGATATCCACAAAAGTGTGTAAGACTTGCTTTGCTCCACTCCTGTGAAGTTACGTGTTGAGGGATATGGCAGAAGCAATTAAACTGATAAGAACAGATTCTACACTTGGTCTTACTGTGTTGTATTACTGTGTCATCCTCCAATAATAGTTAAAATAAATATCCTCTTTGCATATATTGTCTTATTTCTTATGATATATAATTGCCCTGTTGTATTATAATAGTTGTCTGTTGCTGCCTAATAAATTATCCCAAAACTTAGTCCTTTAAGACAAAAATAAACATTTATGAT